TGTCATCCTTTCACAGGAAACATGCTAATCTCTCTTTCATTCTATTTTGTGTGTGTGCTGATGAAATGAGTGCTCAAGGTTTTTACAGGAGTACACAGTGAGGAACCATCCTTACCTGCACAAGTAAACCTCTGAAAAGTGTCAAACAGATATTTAGTCAAATTCAAGGCAGGGTTGCTAAACATTTTTTCTTTTAATTTCTTCAGGTTCTCAAAATCCATTTTTGCAAATCATACTTCCAAAGAAAATCCAAGGAGAGAAAAGTGATAATTCAGAGGTAGATACAGTAAGAAATATTTTTATAATATAAATAATTATAGGAAATTTCATATTTCATTACATGGCTCTGAAATATATGAATCTCATTATAAAATATGAATGTAAATATCTAATATTACTACTGATAAGGAATTTAAAGTTCTGTTGATAAAAGCAAATATATATGTGAGAATGGTCAGCTTTGTTTATTAACATTTATCATTTCCTCATGGTAAATTATTTTTTGAAAGTTCATCATAGAAAATAATGTCGAAGAATTAAGTGTCTTAGTGATATCAAGGAGATTTGGATGAAGAAAACATTCTTCAAAATGGCAAGAATATCTTTTAACAAAACCCTCTTTATTAATTCTTTACTCATGAAACTATACATTTTCAAAGAAGGAATAATTTTTTATTTTTCTATTTTTATTAAAAAGGGAGAAAGTTTATTTTATCCATTGATTTATTTAAGTATCTCTTTGGAGATGCCATGTGCTTATGCTATTTCTTAGGATGTTAAACAAACAAACAAAATACAATTTAACAAGCCTAATAGCATAAGTGGACAATTTTTTTTCTAGTACTGGGGATTGAACCTGGGGCCATTCTGAACACTGAGCTATCTCCGCATCCTTTTTTAGAAATTTTTTTGTTTTGAATCAATGTCTTACTAAGTTGCCAATGCTGGCCTTGAAATTGCCATCCTCCTGTCTCAAATTCCCAAATCACTAGGTTTACAGATGTGTGCCATCATGCCTGGCTCAACTTTTTGATGACCTTTTTTTTTTTTACGATTTCATTGAGAAATAATCTTAAATTGCATTATAATTATACATAATAGATTCATGTGGCAGATTAATATATGCACGTAACATAATTTAGTCTTTCACTTCTTGGACAGTTCTTTTCCCTGCCTTCCTTCCTCCTCTAGTCTCCTTCCATTATTCTCCTGATCTTGCCTCTGTTTTTCTTGAGGTCCATGTTCTTTCTTTTTACTCTCTAGCTTCCACATATATTAGAAAACACGCAGTGCTGCCTTTCTGAGTCTGATTTCAAGTAACATAATGCTTTCTAGTTTCACCCATTTTTCTGAAAATGGCATTTCATTCTTCCTTGTGGCTATATCAAACACCATTGTGTGTGTGTGTGCAGTGTGTGTATCACATTTTCTTTCTTTAAAAAACTATATATACATATATATTTACTTATTGTTGTACACAATACCTTTATTTTATTTATTTTTATGTGGTGCTGAGGCTCGAACTCAGTGCTTCGCACCTGCTAGGCAAGCACTCTACTGCTGAGCCCCAACTCCAGCCCCATGTATCACATTTTCTTTACTCATTTATTGATAGACAATTAGATTGGTCCCATAACTAATCTATTGTGAATTGTGTTACTACAAACACAGATATGTATATTGTACATTGAATTAAATTGTTTTGGATGAATGCTAAGGAATGGTATACCTGGGTATGGTGATTCCATTCCTCGTCTCTTAAGGAATCTCCATTATTGATCTCCATAGTTATACTAATTTACAGTTTCACTGACTGTATATATGTGATCCTTTCCACACATATCCTTGCCAGCAGTATTATTTATATTCTTGATGATTATCATTGTAACTAGAATGAGATAAAAATCTCAGTGTAGTATCGATTTGCATTTTTCTGATTGCTAAAGTTATTGAGTATTTTTTTCATATATTTGTTGACCATTTGTACGTCTTTTGAAATGTATCTGTTTAGTTCATTGGGCCACTTATGTTTTATTTTTACAATGTCATTTTTTTATTGATTCTTTTTATGTTATGTATAATATTAGGATATATTTTGACATGATCACAAAAACATGGAATATAATTTGCTCTAATTTAGTCCCCTTACCTTCTATTCCCATGCTTCCCTCCTTCTACTCTATTCATCTTTCTTCAAATTATTTGTGATTTTATTTTTATTTTTTAAGTTAGTGTCTTGTGGATATTTGTGATGTTGAAATTCACTGTAGTATATTCACATATTTTATATACTAAAGTGCAATAAATAAAATATAAAAGTTTGTTCAGATTCATCCCCAGTCCTTCCCCGTCCCATCTTCCTTTCCTCCCAGTCAATCCCATGTATCTGTTTTATTGATATTTCCTCTATTTTGATAGAATCCCTTCTCCCCCTTTTTCCTTTATCTCTCCCCACCCCCATTTGGGGTTAACCTCTGCTATTACACATTTGACCTTTGACTTTTGGGGACTGGCCCATTTCACTTAGCATAATAGTCTTTATTTCCATCCATAAACCAGCAAGTGCCATAATTTCTTTTTCTTTTTCTTTTAAGGGGAAGTAATTGTTTATATTTTTATTTTTTCATTTTTTTTCTTTTTTTATTGGTTGTTCACAACATTACAAAGCTCTTGACATATCGTATTTCATACATTAGATTGAAGAGGGTTATGAACTCCCAATTTTACCCCAATGCAGATTGCAGAATCACGTCGGTTACACATCCACAATTTTACATAATGCCCTATTAGTAACTGTTGTATTCTGCTACCTTTCCTATCCCCTACTATCCCCCCTCCCCTTCCCTCACATCTTCTCTCTCTTTATGACTAATACTCCATTGTGTGTGTATATATAATATATATATATGTGTGTGTGTGTGTGTGTGTGTGTGTATATATATATATATACATACATATATATATAAAATCACATTTTCTTTATCCATAAATCTGTTGAAGGGGGCACCAAGGGTTGGTTCCTTACTTTGGCTATTCTGAATTGTGCTGTTATAAACGTTGGTGGGGCTGAATCACTGCAGAATGCTGATTTTAAATCTTTTGGATATATGCCAAGGAGTGGGATAGCTGGGTCATATGATGGTTTCATTACTAGTTTTTTGAGCAATCTCTATACTGCTTTCCAGAATGGTTGCACTAATTTTCAGTCCCACAAACAATGTATGAGTGTTTCTTTGCCTCCACATTCATGCCAATATCTATTATTATTTATATGCCTGATGATTGCCATTCTGACTGGAATGAGATGAAATCTCAATGTAGTTTTGATTTGTATTTCCATGATTGCTAGAGATGTTGAATATTTTTTCATATATTTGTTGGTATATTGTATTTCTTCTTTTGAGAAATGTCTGGTTCTTTTGCCCATTTATTAATCGTATTTTTGTCAAGTTTTTGAATTCATTATATATTCTGAATATTAATGCTCTCAGGAGCAGGTGGTAAAGATCTTCCATTCTGTAGGCTCTTTGTTCATGCTCTTAATTGTTTCCTTGCTATGCAGAAGCTTTTCAATATGATGCCATCCATTGATTTTATATTTTATTTATTGCACTTTAGGAGTCATATTAAGAAGGTTGGTTCCTGTTCCAACATGTTGGATTGTTGGGCCTATATTTTCTTCTAGCAGTTGCAGAGCTTCAGGTTTAGTTCCTAGGTCTTCAATGCACTTTAAATTGAATTTTGTGCAGGGTGAGAGGGGTCAAATTTTATTCTATGTATGGATTTCCAATTTTCTCAGCACCATTTGTTAAAAGTCTACCTTATCTCCAATGTATGTTTTTGGCACCTTTGTCTAGTGTCAGATAACTATATTAATGTGGGTTTGTCTCTGTGTCTTCTATTCTGTTCCATTGGTTTTCATGTGTGTTTTGGTGCTAGTACCATGCTGTTTTGTTACTATAGCTCTGTAGTATAATTTGAGACCCAGTATTGTGATGCCTCCAGCATCACCCTTTTTGCTAAGAATTGCTTTGGCTATTCTAGGTCTCTTATTTTTTCAAACGAATTCCAGAATTCCTTTTTTTATTTTTATGAAGAATTGATATTTTGATGGGGATTGCACCAAATCTGCTCTTTTGGTAGTATGATCATTTTGATAGTATTAATTATGCCTACCCAAGAAAATGGGAGAGCTTTCCATCTTCTAAGGTCTTTTTCATTTTACTTCTTTGGTGTTCTGTAGTTTTCATTGTAGAGGTCCTTCACCTCTTTTGTTAGATCGTTTCCCAAGCATTTTATTTTTATTTTTGAGTTTACTGTGAATTGGATACTTTTCCTATATTGGAGTATAGGAATGTGATTGATTTGTTTGTTGGTCTTTTGAATGCTACATTGCTAAATTTATTTATCAGCTGTAGAATTCTTTTGGTGGAGTTTTTTGTGTCTGCTAAATATAAGTTCAGGTTGTCAGCCAACAGAGATAATTTGAGCTCTTCTTTTATTATTTATGTCTCTTTAAACTTCTTCTCCCTGAGTGCTCTGGCTAGACTTTTAAGCACTGTGTTGTATAGAAATTGTAAGTGTGGAAATCCTTGTTTGTTCCTGTTTTTAAAGGATGTGCTTTCAGCTCATTTACTGGACTCTCCTTCTACTGTAATGCATCCCTATGCTGGTTTTCATTTTCATTTTTCATTTCTTCTTCATGAAATATTTCATTGAGTATGTTTTGTAATATAGGCTTTGTGATTATGAATTCTTTTAGCTTCTGTTTGTCATGGAAGATTTTTATTTCATCTTCAATTCTGAAGTTTAATTTTTCTGGGTATAGTAATCCTGGTTAAAACCGATTTTCTTTCAGAGCTTGGTATATATTATTGCATGCCCTCTGCCTTTTAGTGTCTGGGTGGAGAAATCAGTTGAAATTTGAATTGGTTTTTCTATAAATGTGACAATCAATTTATTTCTTGAAAATTTTTAAATGCTATCCTTATTCTCTGTTAGACATTTTCATAATAATGTACCTTGGTGTTGATATACTTTGATTCTGTCTATTTGGAGTTATATATGCCTCTAGTATTTACATTTTCTTCTTACTCTTTAGGTTTAGAAAATTTTCTAATATTATTTTATTAAAAAGATTGTGCACCCCTTTAGTTTGTAGTTCAGATCCTTTCAGCTACCTTAATAATTCTTAGATTTGGTCGTCTTCTGTTTTCCCATATTTCTTGAATATTCTTGTTATGGTCTTTTTAAAGTATTTTCTTTATGGTCAACATT